CGCGACGGGCAGCCCCATCAGCGCAGGGACGAAGAAACAGGTGCCCCACTTGACGAGCGTGCGGTACCCGGGCTCCAGCGCACCGAAGGGGGGCGAGGAGGAGGGATCCGTCAACACCCGACCGCTGAAGTCCTCGCCGTCCCCCGTGGCTTCACCAGAGGTGTGCAGGTAGCAACGCAACGCAGAAAGATGGCACGCCTGGGGCGAGGAGGGGGGAAGAGGAGGAGGGGAAGCTGAGGGAGGGGGGCGGGGACTTCGAAGGAGCGACGGGGGGGTCGGAAGGGTTGGCGCGGGGCCCCGGCGAGTTCTGGAGGGTCGCGGGAGGGAGGAGGGCTCCAGCGGGCTCCGGGAGGCTCTCGACGGAGGAAACCTAGACCCCCGACGTCATGATTTTTTCATGACGCGATCCCCAGAGGTCCGGACCCATTCCCTGGGACCGGTTTTTCATCCTGATTCGTTTTTTGACGGTCCCGAGGCCCGGTGAGAGCCCCCAGAGGCCGAAAATAGCGAAAAACCTCCCATCGTGATTTTTTCATGACCCGAGGGGGTCTGGGAAGGGGGAAGGGGGGGGGGCGGGGGCGGCGCCCACGGGCCGCGGCGGCGGCGCCCCGAGGGGCCCTGTAGGGGGGGGCGGGGCCCAGGCCGCGAGGCCGACCCGATCGCCCAGCGGCTCCCGCGCGCGACTACCACGAGAGGGCACGGGAGGAGGAGGAGGAGGAGGAGGAGGAGGAGGAGGAGGAGGAGGAGGAGGAGGAGCACCGGGGACCCCCCAGGGCGGAGGGGAAAAGACAGGGCGGCACGGGCTCGGAACGGAAGGAAAGGGGGGGGGGGGGGGGGAATTGACCTGGAATCGATGGTGCATCGCCGACACATCAGCGATGGGCCCCCGAGGGCAAATCCGCACGTTCCTGGGCGGGGTGGGGCTATCGGCGATCCACGGGCGATTGGGGGGTGGATGCAGTCCCCCCTGATCCTTTCCTCCCCCCTCACATTGCCCCGTGGTTTTCCGGCCATGGCTCGGCTCTCCGGCTGCCGTTCAGGACGATCCGGGCACCCCCGGACGCCTCTCGGCGAGGCGCGGCTGCTGAAGGCATCCCGAGGCAGGAAGACCTGTGGGAACCCGCGAGGCTGCCCGAAAACCCTGGAAAGCCCTGCCCCTTCTCGTTGCCCCTGGAGGGCAGCGGAGTCGGCTCCCAGGGCCCCGCGCCGTGCGCGGGGGGCGGGGGGGGGGGCAACGAAGCGCACGCAGGGCAGCCGAGAACCCAACCTCGGGCCGGGAGTGGCGAGAAGACCTGGCTCAAGAAGGGTGGCTTCGACGGCTGCCAGGGCGCCTCGGGTCGAGCTGGGAGGCCTCGGGTCGGGAGGGGGGGGGCCTCAGGTCCAGCGGAGCTGGCCTTGTCCAACGAACCCTTCTGTTGGCGGCGCGCAGAGGGGGGCAGGGGAGGGGAGGGAGGGCTTCCCTTCATAGAAGGAGGCTGCTTCTTAGAAGGCGCCAGCCCCACATCAAAAGACGAAGCCCGCGCCTTCGAACAAGCGGGGGTGCTTCGCAGAGGCCTTCCCCCCCCTCCCTACCCCCTTCTGCGCGTGGCCGACTCTCTCGGCAGCCCCAGCACGCCCCGTCCCTCGGACGCCGACGGCTGCGAAACGGCTGCGCCTCGTGACCTCTGCTCGCCAAGACGCTGGGGGTCTGGGCAAGTTTCTTCTCCCCCCCCCCCTCGCCCCGGCGGCTCCGCCCCCCTGGGGGCCCAGGTCTCCGAGCCCCGCAGGTCCCATCGGCGCCGGGCGCGCTCGGCGAGAGGCCGCCGCCGCTGCTGGGCGCACAGGGCGGCGCGCGGCGCCCCGCGCAGCGGAGGGCCCCGCCCTCCTGCGGCTCGCGCGCGGCGAACGCGCCCACCGCCGCGCCCGCGCGCGCGGCCGACTCTGGCAACCTGCGCGATCGGGGCCCGGGCTCACGGCCCGCCCCAGGGAGCCCACGAGAGGGGGCCACGGGCCGCGGCGGAGCGGGGGCGGGGGGGCCCCAGGGCCCTCGGGGGGCCGCGCGGGGCCGCTCGGCAGGGCCTCCGCGACCCAGCTCTCCGAGGACGTGCAGGGAGCCCACGGGAGGACGCACGCGCCCGACCCCTGCGCCCCGGCGAGCCCCCCGCCAGGCGCCGCCGCGGCGGCGGCGTCGCGCCGGGGGGGGGGGGGCGCCCCCGAGGGCGCCGCAGGGCAGCCTGGGCTGGCGGAGCGTCGGGGCCCTCAGGAACCAGAGAGCCCAAAGGACGTACGCGCCGAACCACGTACATGAATGCGGCTCCCTAGTCCGCGAGACCAGCTTTGTGATACGACCGCTCGCAGTGCGTACTCGCGAAACCGGCGTGGACTCACGTGCGTGTACGTCCTGCTGTCGCTCCCGAACACGGCGCGCTCACTGCTGGACACCCCCAGGGCAGGGGCCGGGTCCGCTGGGGCCGCGGGCGGAAAAACCGAGGTCGGCGGGCGCCTTGGAACCATGGGGGAGCCTCGCCGGGCGAAGCTGCCACGCCCCGGGAAGGGGCCGGGACCCCCGACGTCATGCTTTTTTCATGACGCGACCCCCAGAGGTCCCGACCCATTCCCCAGGACCGGCTCTTCCTCCCGAGTCGTTTTTTGACGGTTCCGAGGCCTGGCGAGGGCCCCTGGAGGCCGAAAATGGCGAAAAGCCTCCCGTCGTGACTTTTTCATGACCCGAGGGGGTCTGGGGGAGAGGGGGCCCGGACCTCCTTGGGGCCGCGGGCGGAGCAGGCCAGGCCGGGGGATGCCCGGGGGCTTCGGAGCCTCTCTCCCTGCGCCGCCCGAGCATGCGCACGCCCACCGCCGCGGGGTCGTGCCCCCAGGGGCCAGAGCTCCGCCCGCCGGCTCGGGCGGGCAGGCGCCCATGCCCACCGCTCGTTGGCGACACGCGGAGATCCGACGCGGCGAACCAACCTCGACCTCGCGAGGCATCGCGACCGGAGGTCCACTTGACTACCTACCAAACCACCCCAAAACCCAACCCGAAGACCCGAATTGGACCCGCATCTCGGGTTGGGGGGGGTACGGGTTCCACATGTTTTCCCAATGTTCCCCGACCCCCCCCACTGGAAATGGAGGGCAAATTGAGGCCTTCGGGTTGGGTTGGGGTGGTTTGGGAGGTGATGAGAGGAGGAGGAGGAGGAGGAGGAGGAGGAGGAGGAGGAGGAGGAGGAGGAGGAGGAGGAGGAGGAGGAGGAGGAGGAGAGGAGGCGGAGGAGGAGGAGGAGGAGGAGGAGGAGGAGGAGAGAGGAGGAGGAGGAGGAGAGAGGAGGTGACCAATGAGGCCCCATCGCTCTGCCTGCGGCACCTTCCAAGGCCGATCGATCTCGGTTCGGTGGCCCCGAGCCCAACGCCGGGCGCGAAAGCAGGCTCTGCGCCGCGGGGCCTGGGATCCGAGCTGCGGCCGGGCTTCAAGAGGGCTGCCGTGGAGCGAAAATTCAGCGACGCAGGCGGAACCCAGACGTCTGGGTCAGGTCAGGTCAGGGTCGCAGCATGCGCACTATTCTTGAATACTCTCGCACAAAATGCTGTACTGTAGATGATGACGACCCATTGTTCTTGACAGACCCATTGTTCTTGACAGCTCTCGCACAAAATGCTGCACTGTAGATGATGACGCAGGCGGAACCCAGACGTCTGGCTGCTCCAATGTCCTTGCTGCGTGGGCCCCGGAGGTCCGGACCGCTTCCCCGGGGCCGGCTTTTCGTCCCGAATATCGTGTTTTGATATGCTCCCGAGGCCCGACGAGGGCCCCCGGAGGTCCAAAACTGCCCAGATCCCGCCGCCCCCACTTTTGGGGGGGAGCGTCGCATCTCTGGGCAGGAGCGGTGGGAGGCAAGGGGCGGGGGAGAGGGCCACAGGCGGCCGGAGCGCCCTCAGAGCGTGAAGCACCTCGGGCTGTGCAGGAGACCCTGAGGTCCGACGTTGCAAAGAAATTGCAACATCGCACAAAAACAAAACAAAAAAACAATATATATATATATATATATATATATATATATATACATGTATATATATGTAAAAATAAAAAAATAAAAAATAAAAAAACAATTAAAAAAAAAAAAAAAAAAAAAACAAAAAAAACAATAAAAAAAAAAAAAAAAAAAAAAAAAAAAAAAAAAAAAAAAAAAAAAAAAAAAAAAAAAAAAAAAAAAAAAAAAAAAAAAAAAAACGACCCAGACCTCCGGACCACCCCATCCTTCTGCGTAGCTTTTCGAGCCGGATATCGATCTGTGAGGGCCCCGGGCGCGAGAAGGGAGCGGCCGCGCCCGGCTCGAAAAAATGGGGTCGCCAGGATCTCAGGGGACGGAGGAGGAGGAGGAGGAGGAGGAGGAGGAGGAGGAGGCGGGCTCGGGTCCTCGCCGCTGTGGGGTGCTCGCCCCTGCGGGAGCAATTGCGGGGGGCCCCAGGGGAGGCCCCCCGGGGGCTCCCCCTCCCCCCTCCCACCTCCCCCTCCCCCTCCCCCCTCCCCCCCCCCCTCCCCCCCTCCCCCCCCACCCCTCCACCCTCAAACCCTCCCCCCTTCCGACCGTAAACCCTCCCCGGAGGATCACGCCGCATCGCCGATGCATCGGCGGTGCATCGGCGATGCATCGCCGATGCATCGGACATGCACTGGTGACGTCGGCGATGCCTCGGCGACGCTGGCGTGGAAAAACTTGGGCCCCACATCGAGCCGCATCGCCGATGCATCGCTGATGCATCGGCGATGCGGCGCGATCCTCCGGCCCCATCTACTCCGACCCCATCTAGGAGACCTAGAAAAGGCGAATCGAAAACAAAACGAGGGAAAACGAAAACAAAACGAAAACGACAAAATACCGTTTGGGTTCAGCCCTGCCCAGGGGGGCAGGCTTCGGAGGGAGGCGCCGGAGGCGGGCGCCCGCGGAAGGCTGCTCCGAGAGGCATCCCGGAGGAAGGCTGCTCCGAGGGAGGCCCCCCCAGAGGGAGGCCTCTGCGAGAGGCTCTCGGGGGAGGGGGGGGAGGAGGAGGAGGAGGAGGAGGAGGAGGAGGAGGAGGAGGAGGAGGAGGAGGAGGAGGGAGGAGGAGGAGGAGGAGGAGGAGGAGAAGGAGGAGGAGGAGGAGGAGCCCCAGGGGGAGGCCTCTGAGAGAGGCTCTCCGAGGGAGGCTCCTCCGGGGAGGCTCCCGAGAGAGGCCCCCCGAGGGCAGGCGCGCGGGGGAGGCGCGCTGGGGCAGGCAGAGGGGGGCAGCGGCTCCTCCTCCTCCTCCTCCCCTCCTCCACCTCCTCCTCCTCCTCCTCCTCCTCTCCTCCTCCTCCTCCTCCCCTCCTCCCCTCCTCCTCCTCCTCTCCTCCTCCTCCTCCCTCCTCCTCCTCCTCCTCCTCCTCCTCCTCCTCCTCCCAGGTACGTAGTGCCAGCCGAAGTGATACCAAGGGAAAGAGAGGAGCCGGCAGCCACGGGGGGCGCGCCCGCAGGGGCGAGGCACCTCCAAAGGCAGGCCGCGGCCAGGCGGAAACGCCCGCTGTCGAGAAAAAGTGCAGCAGGAGGGAGGAGGCAGGCCCGGGTCCAAAGATCCAAGCCCCGAGATCCTGGCGACTCCATTTTGTTCGAGCTCGGCGCTTTCGCTCCATTTCGGGCCCCGGGACCCTCGCAGATCGATCCGGCTCGAAAAGCTACGCAGAAGGATGGGGTCCGGGGGTCTGGTCGTGATGTTTTGCGACGTTGCAATTTCTTTGCAACGTCGGGCCTCAGGGAGGGACTCCGAAGCGGCGGCTGCAGAGACGCTCTGGCGGCAGCTCTCCGCGCGCCAGCCGGGGGGTCGCCAGGGTGGTCACTGGGGCGCACGCCGCACGTCTCGCGAGGGCCGCGAGGCTCTGCAGGGGAGGGCTGCGGAGGCTCAGACGAGGTGACGGGCAGCACGGGAGGCCTCCCAAGGGGTCCCCAAGACGGCCCAATACGGCGAGGGCATCGGGTAAGGAACCATGGGAAGAGGAACCCAGGGTCTGCAAGCCAGCGGACCTTTGGGTTGGCCATGGCTATCACCGCCGCCTTCCTCAGATAAGGAATCATCCAGGGTCTGAAGCCTCCTAAGCACATTCCTTAAACTACGCCCCCACCGTATGCCCCCAAAGCTACCCAGGAGGCCCCCGGAAGGCCCCAGGAGGGGGAAATTGAGCTGGACTTGACAGCAGTTTCCTGCAGGATTGCCTCCAAGACCCCCAACATTCCCCCAGAGGACCCTTAGAGGCCCATAGATGCCTCCGAGAGGCCCTCGAAAGGCCCAAAAGAATTGGGGTCCGAGTAGTAGATGGAGTCGGAGGGTCGCGCTGCATCGCCGATGCATCGCCGATACCTCGGCAATGCTTCGGCGAAGTCGGCGATGCATCGGCGAAGTCGGCGATGCATCATCGCCGCAGTCAGCGAGGAGAAAAGCATCACCGATGCATCGGCGGTGCGGCGCAATCCTCCGACCCCATCCACCATAACCCCACCTGGGAGGCCTAGCACTGCACCGACCTTGCAGGTGTGCTGCAGCGGATTTTTGCATGTTCTTCTGCCAGAGCCAAACCCCGAAACGGCGAGCGACAAACGCACTGAATTTCAGGTGAATTGTTTGTAGTCTTCATTCCTGGGCAAAAAATCTGCACGAAAATCACTTCGAACTCCGGAACGAGACTCTCCAGGACAATATGGGCCCATCCCAATGTTCTCCGAACGAAATCCGCTCTGCGCGGGGAGGGGAGGAACGCTGCAGAGAAGAGCGCCACAAGCACAGGAAAGCAGTGCACCGAAGATCCGGTTTGCCGCGTCGGCGCCGAGCAGGCGCCGTACGAGGAGCAGGGCGCCGAAGAGGCCGAACATCCCCCACAGCGCGTGAGGAAGCGGAGTGGCCTCCCCAAGGCCATCGTGCACGCTCGTCCCCCGGGGCACCGCTGCCGGCAGACGTCGGGCACAGGCGGCCCTCGTCCTCGTCCTCGTGATCCTCCCCCCTGCCTCTCCTCCAGCTCCTCCCTCCCACCCCTCCGTCTCCTCATGCTGCTCCTCCCCTCCTCATCCTTCCTCCTTCATCTGTTCCTCCGCCTCCTCCTCCTCCTCCTCCTCCTCCTCCTGATCCTCCTCCTCCTCCTGATCCCCATGCTTCTCTTCATCTCTCATCCAACATCTCACGTCCTCCATCCAGGCAGCGGAGGGGGGGGGAAGGGAGCATGAGGAGAGGCACGAGAATGACAAGGAAGAGATAGGGAGGAGCAGCAGGAGAGGAGAAGGAGCGGAAAAATGGGGAGGGGGAGGGGCCCGGGAGGGGGAGGACAAAGTAGCAGAGGAGAGGAGAAGGAGGAGGAGGAGGAGAAGGAGGAGGAGGAGGAGAAGAAGAACGAATAGGACAATGAAGAAAAATAGAAGAGCACGAGGATGAAACGAGAGAGGGTGAGGAGGGAGGGAAGAGGTGGAGGGACAGAAGCAAAAAGGAAGAGGAGAAACAGGAGGAGGAAGAGGAGAAACAGGAGGAGGAGGAGGAGGAGCGAGGAGAAGGACTGCAAAGGAGTGCGGAGAGCAGCCGCCCCAGCGCCTCGTTGGGCGGCCGGGGCCCAGCAGCACTTACCCGCCCCCGAGGGACCGCTGCGCTCCCCGGGGCCAGCTGCTGCCTTTTGCAGCACGTGCGGTGCGTGCGAGGCACCACGCTCGCCAGCAGCTGTCCCCGAGGTGCCCCCGCCCGATCGAAGCGCTCCGCGAGGCGCGCCGGCCTCGCCGCACCTCTCGCCCGCCTCTCCCCACGACGCGCGCCCCCCGGGCTGCAGTCGCGAGCCCACGGTTCGTTCCCCTTCTTTGTCTGCGTGCTGGAGGTGCGGGGCAATAGCGCCCAATCGCGAGCAAAGCGGGCATGAAGCATCGCCCTCACATGGCGCTATGGGGCGCCAGTAGGCGCTATTTGGACGCTATTTGACCGCCATTGGAGCGCTACTGGGCGCTGTTGGGCGTTGTTGAGCGCTATGAGCGTTATTCGCCGATTTACTTTCAACCCAGGACGAGCGGAAGCTTCCGTGATTTACTATCTCACAGAAAGACACTGCCTGCCCCGCTTCCTGCTGGACGCAGCGGAAGGCATGCCCAGAGCGGCAGGCCAGCTCGTCCACCGCTCTCTGGCGTGGCGAGCACGTTCGCACGGGACAGCACGTTCAACGTCAGCGAGTGCCGAATCCTCTGCGTCGCCTTCTGCCATGTCGAATCAAACTGGAACAAGTTCTCAGAGGCCTCCCAGATTGGGTTAAGGTAAATGTGGTCGGAAGATCCAGCCCAATCGCCAGTGCATCGTCGATGCGTCGGCCATGCATCGGCGACGCTTGCGATACGTCGGCGACATTGACGTGGATAAAATCGGGCTCCACATCGAGCCACATCGCCGCCTGTGGAACGCAGGAGAACATACTGGTACTATGCGTCCTCCCCGCAAACGCACGTGCGATCCGAACATCTTGAACGAGATCCTGTGGTGTATCGTCTCCCGAGCGGAATGGACAGAAAGCGTCCGCCCCGGAGCATGTACTAAAAGATTTCTCGGCGCGCGCGTCGCCCCTTGGGGGCAACGCACACAAAGTACAGTAGTTTGTTGGAGTGACGCCAACCCTAGAAAAGTAGACTGGAACAGGTTCTGGGCCTATGCCGACCGGCATGCCGGAGGGAGGGTGATCAAGCTTGCTGCACTCAATGCCATCGAAGCTCAGGCGCCCACGTGCACTGGCAAACCACACAGCCCGCGTCAGAGGCTGCGCTTTCCGAGCGCTATGGGATCATGAGCTGCGGTAAGAGCACCAGGGGCACCACGGATGGCACGGGGGAGCCAAGTGAGGGAAGGACAGTGACCTCGTTGTGGACGACCGCCCAGGAAGTGCCTCCCCCGAGCGGTGGGGCGGCGCGGTCAGAGAAGAGGTCGTCGTCGTCGTCGTCATCACCATCACTGCCATCGTCGTCGTCGCCGCTGCCGCCGTCACGTCACCCTCGAGGAGGGGAGGGGAAGAAGGACATGAGGATAAAGAGGATGATGATGATGATGAAGATGATGATGATGATGATGATGATGATGATGATGATGATGATGATGATGATGATGATGATGATGATGATGATGATGATGATGATGATGATGATGATGATGATGATGATGATGATGATGATGATGATGATGATGATGATGATGATGATGATGATGATGATGATGATGGTGATGATGATGGTGATGGTGATGGTGATGTGATGGTGATGGTGATGGTGATGGTGATGGTGATGGTGATGGTGATGGTGATGGTGATGGTGATGATGATGATGGTGATGGTGATGGTGATGGTGATGGTGATGGTGATGGTGATGGTGATGGTGATGGTGATGGTGATGGTGATGGTGATGATGCTGATGCTGATGCTGATGCTGGTGATGATGATGATGATGATGATGAGGAGGAGGAGGAGGAGGAGGAGGAGGAGGAGAGGGGGGAGGAGGAGGTTGAAGAGGAGGGTGAAGAGGGGGGCCAGACTAAGCCCAGGATGCACCAACGATGCTGCAATACGCGTTCCCCGTCAAAGTCCCAGCCTCGCAAGTCGCGGCTCCCCTTTCCGCCCGCGGGAAGCGCCCCCCTTGCAAGGCCAGCGCGCCCCTTGGGCCTGCCACTCGGGCGAGACCCCTGGTATGAGAAGGATGCATTCTCCACCCTTTGGCCGTTAGATATGCAAAAGACATGAACATGCAGTGTTGAGAAATATGTCGTGAGGGCCTCTTGCTAAATGAGAGCCGCCCTCCCAGGTGCGTAACCGAACCGCCCTGCTTCCGTTGCGCGGTACCGTACACTTAGTTCTGGGCCATGGAAGAAGAGAAGACTCAAGCAAGAGCCCCCTGCTGAAAAGGAACCGCCAACTTTCCTCGTGGCTGATGGGCAAGGTGCAACGAATGCACGCAGCTCTGATGTAAGACCCACATCTCGAAAACGACCCCTCGCCCGTGCAGTGGTTGGAGAGCTCAAGCTTCAGAGGAAAGTACTGACGGTGAGAACAGATTAAGCAAACACACACACACACACACACACACTCCGATCGCCCTAACAACACGCCTGGTGGGGCGACGAGGAGACACGATGCACAAGAAAAGGGGACGGGAGGGGGACAGCGGGATGGGCGAGCAGGAAGAGAGCCCCAGAAGGTTGTGGGAAGCTCGACGGGTACGGAGGGAAGGCGAAAGGATCTGCAGGGGCGCTAAGGCGCTAGGAGACTCCAGAGAGGGTAGGGGAGGCAAGGAGGAATAGAGCGAGGGCGAGGCGAGAAGAGGGCCTGGCCTGGTCTGGGCCATGTGAGCACTCCTGGCCATGTCATGACTCATACCGAAGGGAAGTCCATGCCGCACGTGGGGGGTGACCCTCGGGACAAGGGAGGGAGGCAGGACACCAGCCCCGGCTTTGGTGGGGCCAAGGCGAGGGCCTACCTTCTGGCCGTGCCATCGCCACGGGGCACGCTTCACCAATCTGCTGGGCAGCCTTTACAACATAGCGCCCGCAGGCTTGGCAGAACCCAAAAAATATTTTCTTATATATATATATATATATATATATTCATAAATAATACTAATAACAATAATAATAATATATGTATATAGAAACGAATTATCACAGTGCGACCCTACCTAGGAGTTGGAGCCCCTAGGAAAGCAGCATTAGTAGTAACAGTAAAGCTAAGATAAATCTAAGCTAAAGCTAAGCTAAAGCTGAGCTAACGCTAAGCTAAAGCTAAGCTAAAGCTAGGCTAAAACTAAGATAAAGCTAAGTTAAAGATAAGCTAAAGCTAAGCTAAAGCTAAGCTAAAGCTAAGCTAAAGCTAAGCTAAAGCTAAGCTAAAGCTAGGCTAAAGCTAAGCTAGAGCTAAGCTAAAGCTAAGATAAAGCTAAGTTAAAGCTAAGCTAAAGATAAGCTAAAGCTTAGCTAAAGCTTAGCTAAAGCTAAGCTAAAGATAAGCTAAAGCTAAGCTAAAGCTAAGCTAAAGCTAAGCTAGCTAAAGCTAAGCTAGAGTTAAGCCAAAGTTAAGTTAAAGTTAAGCTAACGCTAAATTAAAGCTAAGCTAAGGTAAAGCTAAGCTAAAGCTAAGCTAAATTTTAGCTGAAGCTAAGCTAAAGCTAACCTAAAGCTAAGCTAAAGCTAAAGCTAAAGCTAAAGCTAAGCTAAAGTTAAGCTAAAGCTAAAGCTAAAGCTAAGCTAAACTAAAGCTAAGCTGAAGCTAAGCTGAAGCTAAAGCTAAAGCTAAAGCTAAAAAAAAACCTAAAGCTACAGCTAAAGCTAAAGCTCCCAGGGGACCGGGGGGACCGCGGGGCGGATACTGGGGGAACCGCCCGGGGCGCTTTCCACTGCCCGGCCCCTTTAAGCCGAGAGAGTAAGAACCCTTCAGGCAGAGCCTAGGTAGGGAACAAGACATGCGACGAGCGGGCCTTCATAACGGCAGGGTGCACGGCGACTCCGTCACGGCCTCCTGCTGCCTTAACATCGGAGGGCCCACGCATCTGCCGGGCCAGAAGTTACAAGCCTGGCCTCTCGCCGCTTCGTATATTACATCAGAAAGTCTGCAGACAAGCCTGATGCCCACAAGCCACGGGCTTAACTGCCCCGATACGCGACACGCAGCACGTAGCGTATTGCTACGGAACCTTACACGCAGACTGAAAGCGTAGACACGACGCGACACGCTCGCCAAAACGTGGGCAAACACGCCACGTCTTGGATCGTCTTGGCACAGACGTTTTTAAGCACGGTGCGTGCTGCGTTTCAAACCAGGCGTGTCGAGGCAGGAGATGTCGCGGGGCACGCCCCGCGACCTTAGCTACCGCCCCACGCGCACGCGAGAAGCGCCTCCCGCGGAGGACGGTGGTGGGGCAGCAGCTCCTCGCGTGAACACCCTGTCGGTCCAATGTCGCCGTGCACCGTGTGGGGGCGTCGCACTGCAGCTTTCTCCGTGACATCTGGCTCTGAGGGAAGCTTGGTACGGCCATTTACGCGTGCCCATCTTATTATGCGTGTCCATCTTATTCTGCCTGTGCGTTCTACAATAACATGTTGCGTGTCCATCTTTGGTAGTACTGACTTTGCGTGTCCATCTTATTCTGCTTCTGCGTTCTACAGTAACACGTCTGTCAGAACACACAGATCGCTCACGGATGCCCGCCCAGAAATACAAGCAACACGCTGCATCCATTCCACCCAAGGCTCAATCGGATCGAGATGGGCCGAAATCGGATCGGATCACGACAGCCGATCCGACTCCGTTGCTGATGTTCACGTTCGTTTCCGACCTGGTAGTTTTGCCGTCGGCCTTGACAAATTGCGTTTTTGGTGACCTCCACATAGTTCGCATCATATGCCGCTCGCGTGCTGCTAGATTGTGCATGATTGTTTCTCAGGCAGGACGGCCAATGTACATGATGCACTTCCGTACGTCGTGGGAGTCAGCATGCCGTTGAATGACCAGAACTTGTCGCGCAGCGACTGCGAACAAGACTGCAGTTCTTCTTTCAACACCAAGGCCTTATTACACGCTGCTTTGATGCTTGCGTTAATTTCCACAGAGACCTACCTGGGTGTCGACTGTACTGCCGCCCAAACTACAGATGGCTGCCGGCGCACAGTAGGATATCAATGCTGACGTCGCCCACATTGGTGTACCATGGAAACTTTCTCGAAGATTTGGTTTTCTGCAGATGTAGTTCAAGACCTGGCGCACGGCACTGTCCACGACATACCCCAGTAACTGGCGTACTTGCGTGAGCGACTTTCCCACGAGAGCAGTAGCGGGAGAAGGATGAGAAGTGGCGGGGAAGTTGAGGAGGGCATGGGAGGATGAAGAAGCTCTTCCATCCCCCGCATCCCCTCACCTTGCCGCCCTCCTCGATGTCCGTCCCCTCCATTCCTTCGACTATCCCTTCCCCCCTCTCCCCTCTCCTCTAGCATCCACTCCCCTCCGCCAGTAGGGTGAGGGCATCCGAAGAACAAACATGAGGGTCAAATCTGCACCTCAGGGAACCTCCTTGGTGAGTGGATCGGGGCCGAAGCTGTTCACTCTGTCTTGTTCACCGTGCCCTCCTCCCCGCCTCCAGTCTGACTCCTCCTCCCAGTCCAGTGTTGCCACCGCGCCCAGCTCCAGAGCTTTGCCCCCCCCCAGGCGGCCTTCGACAGCGGCCGCAGCGTCCGTTCCAGGTACCTGGCACTGCGATCCACCGACACGTTGGCACAGACGTCGCGATTGCGACTATCACGACTGTCGGCGCGCTGGCTCAGCGATTACCACGACTGCCAACGCAAGTCACCGAAACAAACACCGCCGACCTTACACTTGTATGACCACCCTCGCTCTTCACCTTCGTATCATCTTCCCTCATCCCGCTTCTGCTGCCAGCCCTGCCGCCGTTTCTCCCCCCTCCCGTGCCAATCCTTCCGTTCCCCTCATCCCTCACGTTTTCACTTCCAGCCACCCGCTGCCCCGCATGCGCCCTCCCTCCCGGGGCTATCGCCTAAATTGCAGGACCATGGGGCGCTTGTACTTCAAAGGCGCAAGTGAAGAAGGAATTGCTACAGGGCCTTATGAGGAGGGGGTTTGGGACTTGGGGCGGGCGTGCATATCGCAGCATCGTTGATAAAGATCGGTTTGCGTTGGTATTCGTCTTCCTCCTCCTCCTCCTCCTCCTCCTCCTTTTCCTCCTCCTTCTCCTCCTCCTCCGCCTCCTCCTCCTTATCATCGCTGTATCTTCTTCACTTTCTCGTGCACAGTATCCTCTTCACTTCCTCACGCACAGTATCTTATGATTCCCCTGCTCATCCTCTCCTCCTACTCCTCCTCCTCCTCCTCCTCCTCCTCATCCTCCTCATCCTACTCTTCCTCCTCTTCCTCCTCCCCCTCCTCCTCCTCCTCTTCCGCCTCCTCCTCTTCCTCCTCCTCCTCCTCCTCCTCCTCATCCCTCTTCTCCTCCTCCTCCTCCCTCTCTGCCTCTTGTTTTTCTCCTGGTGCCCCCCCCAAAAAAGATCGGACTTGAGATTCGCGGATTGTTTGTTTTTTGGAGGGGAGGGGGGGGGTCGGCGGCGGAAAAAAAGGAATGCGACGTGGCCTCATCTGCACTCCCCCTAGAAGGATGCCTATTGAACGCCCCCACAAGAAGGATTCATAGTGAAATCCTCGACAAAAGGATTCCTATCGAAACCCTCCACTGAATGATTCCTACTGGAACCCTCCACATGTGGATTCCTATTGAAATCACCCGCAGAAGGATGTAGATTCTTCATATTGACACCCTCCGCAGGAGGATTCCATGCGAAACCCTCCACACAAGGATTCCTATTGAAACCTACCACAAAATATTTCCCCCATTGGCAGTGCATTGGCATTGGGTTGGGATCGTTTTGGCATTGGTGTGGCACTGCGTTGGCACTGCGTTGGCATTGCGCTGGCGAGTTCCCACACCTCCCTTCGCATAGTGATTCCTGTTGAACCCCCCCACAAAAAGGATTCCATTTGAAGCATCCCACAAGAAGGGTTCACATTGAACACCCTCACGGAAGGATTACATTCGAAGCCCTCCATAAAAGGATTCTTCTTGAACTCGACCACAAAAGATTTCCCCCACTGGCATTGCGTTGGCATTGAATTGGGATCGCCTTGGCATTGGCATAGCGTTGGTATTGCGTTGGCGTTTCGCTGGCGAGTTCTAACCCTCCCCCCACAAAAGGATTCCTATGAAAACCTTGCACAAGAAGGGATCTTTTTAGAAGCCCCCACATGAAGGATTCAAAATGAGACCCCCACAGAGAGATTACAATCGAAACCTCCCACGGGAGGATTCCTATCGAAATCTTCCGAAGAAGGATTCGTAACCAAATCATCCGCATAAGGATTCCTAGTGAAATTTGTTGGAAGACAGGAATCCCGCCATCGGCAAAGAAATAATCCCCCGTTGGCATTGCATTGACATTGGTTTGGCGATGGCTTGGCATCGCATTGGCATTGCGTTGGCATTGCGCTTGGCAGTGCGTTGCTAGTGCGCATGTGTTTCGCAAGCATTGCGCTGGCGAGTCCGAATGGAGCCCTCCACTGACGGACTCCGACCGAAACCTCGTACAGGAAGGACTCCTATTGAAACCCTACATAAAGACGGTTCATACTGACACCCTCCGCAGAAGGATTACATGCGAAACCCTCCACAGAAAGATTCTTATTGAAATCTACCACCAAATATTGCCTCCATTGGCAGTGCATTGGCATTGGCTTGGAATCGTTTTGGCATTGGTGTGGCCCTGCGTTGGCATTGCGATGGCATTGCGCTGGCGAGTTCCCACACTTTGCTTCGCAGAATGTTTCCTGTTGAACCCCCCACAAGAAGGATTCCATGTGAAGCATTCCACAAGAAAGGTTCACATTGAACACCCTCACGGAAGGATTCCATTCGAAGCCCTCCATAAAAGGATTCTTCTTGAACCCGACCACAAACGATTCCCCCCACTGGCATTGCATTGGCATTGAATTGGAATCGCTTTGGCATTGGCATTGCGTTGATATTGCGTTGGCATGACGCTAGCAAGTTCTAGTGGCTCCCCCCACAGAAGGATTCATATGAAAATCGTGCACAAGAAGGGATCATTTTGAAAGCCACCCCCATGAAGGATTCAAAATGAGACCCCCACAGAAAGATTCCAATCGAAACCCTCCACGGGAGGATTCCTATCGAAATCCTCCAGAAAAAGGATTCGTAACCAAATCATCTACATAAAAATTCCTGGTGAAATCTGTTGGAAGACAGGAATCCCGCCATCGGCAGTGCATTGGCATTGGTTTGGCAACGGTTTGGCATCGCATTGGCGTTGCGTTGGCTTTGCGATGGCAATGCGTTAGCGGTGCGTTGGCTTTGCGTTGACATTGCGCTGGCGAGTCCTACTCAAACACTTCACAGAAGGATTCCTATTGAACACCCCCACAAAAAGGATGCCTATTGAATCCCCCCACAAGAAGGATTCAAATTGAAATCCTCAACAAAAGGTTTCCATGCGAAGCCCTCCATATAAGGCTTCCGATTGAATCCCCGGAAGAAGGATTCTTAGAACGACTGTTATTGAAATCTAATTGCAACGCAATGCGATTGCAACGCAATCAGACCGCAACGCGAATACAATGCGAATGCACTTCAACGCATTTCGAACGCAGTGTACATCCAATGCAAGTGCAATGCGACGCAATGCGCATACAATGCAAAGCATCCGACACCAAATCATGCTCATGTCCCTTCTCTCGTCCTTCTTCTCCCCCTCCTGGAGCTCTCTGAAGATACCTTGGCAAATTGATCCCGATGCGTCCCATTGGTCTTCACGCTCACGCCGTCCGAGCGTCATTTACTCTTTTCCGCAACTTCCTGGCCAAACTGCTCCTCCCTCCTCATCATCCTCCTCCTGCTTCTCCTCATGGCAGTTCCCGCCGGCTTCTGCAAGCAAAGCGATAATATATGCCCGCGCAGCCAAGAAAGGGAAAGATACCGAAACCAAATATCTTGCCCGATGGATCTCGATGCGAAACAGTAGGACATGGCGCTACCGCACCGTCCTGCACCCACTTCCTTCCCCGTCCTCCTCCTTCCCCCGTCCTCATCCAAAAAATGCTTCCTCCTCTATGCTCCTCCTCACACTCATCCTCCTCACAGGTAAGATAAAGAGGGAGAGAGACAGAGAGAGAGAGAGATGAAGAGAGAGTGATAAAAGAGAGGACAACAAACAACAACGAAAGAGAACATACAAAGAGGGAGACAGACACGAGCAGAAAGGGATTGTTCAGACGAGAAGGGCTGAAAGAGAAGAGAAACATAAAAGAACGCTGACAAAGGGAAAAAAAACAGAAAATCGGTAGAGCGCTGACAAAATGAAAAAACCTCAGAAAATCAGAAGAGCTCCAAACAAAAAGCCCCCCCGAGCAGGGTCCTCGAAATTCCAACCCCACGCCGTTTGGCGCAGGGCTAGAGTTTCGAGGACAATGCTCGGGGGGCATTAGTTTGCAGGTGTGACAGCATAACAATGTGATACATCATGGAAAAGGGATGTAGACCTATAAACGTGACTGTGAAAGAACGGAAAGGAAAGAGAACGAGAGAGAGAGAGAGAGCGAACGGCGAAAGAGAAAAACGAAAAACTGAAAGAGAATGGAAATGATGAAATACAACGTGGAAGATCGGAAAAATCGTCTAGAACACACAGGGACTCCACAATCCCCCGGCCTCTCCTCCTCCTCCTCCTCCTCCTCCTCCTCCTCCTCCTCCTCCTCCTCCTCCTCCTCCTGATCATCATCATCATCTTCATCCTCATCCTCCTCCTCCTCCTCCTCCTCCTCCTCCTCCTCCTCCTCCTCCTCCTCCTCCTCCTCCTCCTCCTCCGCCTCCTCCTCCTCCTCCTCCTCCTCTTCGCCCTCCTCCTTCCATGCCTCCTTTTTTCCCATATCCGCCACTGCGCCCTGAGGCACGAGTTGGAACGTCCTCAAATCGAGGCTGAAGAAGAGGCGGGCGTGCTGGGCCGTAGCCCGTGGCCTTGCTTCTGTCGGCGTCCCAATGGCACGCAGCCTGTAATTTAACGAATGCGAAGACCGGCGGCGGCTGCCGCCAGCGAAGCGCCAGGCCCAGGCGTCCGGTCAGCCGCGGCAGTGGCGGGGAGCGCGAGGGAAGGGAGGGAGGGGACAGAAGGGAGGGGCCGCCAAGCCGCCACCCTCCGCCGCCGCCGCCGCCGGCCCCGCAGCAGCCCCAGCAGCGCCGTCCTCGGGGGGGCGGCCGGGGGCGGCCCGCTGGGGAGGCCCGCGGGCCTCCCAATGCGCCAGCCCGACATCCGCCTCGATGATGGCCAACGCCATCCTGCAGGCAGCCACCTGAAGGCAGGCCTGGGCCGCAGGGTGAGGGCCGGCAGCCTGCGTGATCCACCCCGGGGGCCTCGGCCCAACAGCCTGGGGGCAAGCGGGACTCCCTCTCGAGATCCCGGCGGGCCGCCGCGAACCTAGGGCAATCGGCGATAAAATCCCTGGTGGAGCACCGGACGGCCGGGCACCACGTGCAGCGGGCGCGTGCCTCGCCAGCCGGGCACCACTGGCGGGTCGAGGCCCACGTGCCTCCGCAACGCCAGATTTGGAGCCACCGGCGCTGCTAGGCCGCCAGCGAAAAAGCCCACTGAGTCCACGGAGGACTACCCTGAGTC